TATATGCATGTCGTGTATGCGTATTAATTTGTGTGGACTGTGTGCGACCCATCCGTCTGATGGTATGCATCTGCCAGGGATGTTCCAGAAAATCAGTGCCAGGACTGATTTTCCACGAAATGAACTGCTTAAGCAGCTGGATGGGCATATTGGAAATATATTAACCACCTGTCCTAGGAAATGTGGAAGTCTCACGGAAAAAAATGTGCCACAGTGACGAGATGTTATCTCCCTCGCCTGGTATGGAGGAGGTTGTGGGTTCGATCCCTACCCCGATGCCTGAATATTTGGAGTTTGCGTGTTTGCACGGATAAACCACTAAGTTGAGCTGTCACTTGTGGCCAGGTCGCTTTTGCAAAAGCTCAGTGAGCCTTATCTGGTAAAATATAAATCTAAGTTCATGACATATTTTTTATTTCAGTTAAGTCCCAGTTTTTGTAAGTTTTGTAATATGAATACGCAATTCAAGACTTGCATTTACATGTTGCAGTTTTCCCATCTTCTCATTTGTAAAATATTCTTGGTCTTATCATGTCCCGGGTTTTTGTACTTCAGAGTTGGAAACCTGAAATGGATGAGGCAGATATCCACAGCGGAATGCAGTCCCACAGCAGTGGAAACAGCCACTTTGGAATAGGGACCAGTGGTATTGGGCCAATATTCTTCAAAATCAATTTCCAACATGCAACAGGGCTAAAAACCAAAGGAAATTACTCATAACACCCCTATATAGCTTTCAATGAATGTAGCTTGTTGTGTTTTAAATACGGTGACGAAAAACATTCATGAACAGCAACCATCATGCACGTAACACACTTATAATTGTAATGAGTAAAATACACTCAAGAGATCTATAGTTGAATAACTGGTAGACAGTGAATTGGCAGGTTCACTGTGTGTGGGTACTCCCACCTCAAATACCATCTCGAAGGCTCTTGAGCTCCCTGTAGTGGAGGCCCACCAGAATAAGCGTTAGCAAGCCACTGTTAGGGCTGCGCCTTTACCTTCTGACAGTCAAAGCTCCGTGCATAAGAGTGGACAATAGAGGAATAATTCACAAGGAGACCAAAAGTATTGCACATTTCATATTTTAATTCAGGAGGGGCGGGTCAGAACGTTACAACAACAAATGTTACAACAACACGATAGGAGTGCAAAGGTAAGCTAATCACAAAAAAATGTACAAATAAAACTAAACAGTTTAATTTTTTATTTGATCAGGTAAGGCCCACTGAGCTATTAGCTTTTTTTTCATAAGCGACCTGGCACACGTATGATAGCTCAAAAAAGTAGGACATAGCAGGACCGGGAGAAAAAACAATCCACGTGACCATGGGAAGAAAATGCAAGCTCCAAATAGACAGGCATCAGGGTCAGGATAAAACCCTCGACTTCCTGCATAGAAGGCAAGAAAGATAACAACACGCCACCGTAGCGCCCATTAAATGATGACAAAAATGTTTTAGCATAAAAGTTAAATTTACATAAGTATATAAATTCTCAAGCTTGAGAAAGGCAGTAAAAAACAGCACAAACAGTCCCAGACCACACAAAGAAAACAGTCTCTCAATTAAATTAGATATTAACATTGAACTATCGATACACAGATCAGGGTCAAAGTTACAACTCAGTGGAAAAGTGGCTGTATTCAGCACTAATCTTCTGTTAAGTGAGGAAACAAGGTTGTTCCAACACGTTGGTGCTACGACGGCAAAGGCTCTGTCACCTATTCCAATCGTTGTTCTTGTGATAGTTAAAATGCAATTAGATGGACGCTTTGGGTTTCTCGGATTTGACAATGGGATAAATGAATTCGCTAAGATTTGCCAATAAGGATTTAATGAACAGAGCCCAATGTAGATTTCTTCTCGCATCAAGTGATGAGAGTTTTGATTTTAAGTAGAGGTCACAATTCTGGGTCCTGTATGGTACACGCAGTACAAATCGTAGCGAAGAATGATGAAGCGGGTTTAGTCTGTTTAGCAATTCATTAGTAGCTGATCTGTGTTTTTTCATGAGAGGCTACTGTTGCTTTACACTTTTCACAAACATGTTCTGTCCATGCAATTTTACACTATGTTTAAAATTCTTCCAATTGACTTCCATCACCGATTACAATTTGTAACATTCGATTCCTTTTAAAACCAATAATCACTCCACTCGAACAGAAACTTTCTTTAGCTTTGAATTGCTCAGTGCTCGTGGAATTATTTTATGAAACCAATTTACTACCTCCTTCCTCAGCTCCTTGGTTCTGAAGAAGTAAATGGTTACATTTGATAGGGGCATGAGGAAACTTGTGTACTGGGCACTGCAGCGGATGTTTCGCACCCGAGCCGCGGCACGAGAGCCGACAGGAAAAGTGGAATGAAGAAAAGCATGAGCAGGAGAAAGTGAGTGAACAGGGTGTACATTGCCTTGTTCTTGAAATCGCTCGAATGCGTCCTTTTGCACTCCGGAAGGATTCTAAAATAGGTGAAGCTGATCACGCTCAAAGGCAACGCAATGAGCACCACGATGATCCCCGACCCGTAAGCTTCGTGGATTCGCGTGTCGCCTGCGGACACGCGAGCGAAGCCAATGTTGTCACAAAGAATGCCCTGCATTTGCCTGTCGCTGTCTTTGAGTTTCAACGGGGCAAAAAGAATTGTCACCGGCACGAAAGCGGATATAGTAAGGCTCCAGAGGCTGAAAATTATGATGGCCCGTTTACCGGTAACAATGGTATGGTAGTGAAGCGGGAAGCAGATGGCCACATAGCGGTCGAATGCCATGGCAGCAAGTGTGAGAACCTGCATGATGACGAACACGTTGATCCAAAATATCTGCGCCATGCACGTGGTGTACAGGATCCGGTTGTCGCCCGTCAGGAGCATTTGGAACTGTTTGGGCATGGTGCTTACGCTACTGATGAGATCGGCGACCACGAGGCTGCATAGGAACATGTACATAGGCTTGTGCAGGTCCACGCGGGCAGCCACTGTCGCGAGCACCGCCACGTTGGCGACGATGGTGACGACGAAGAGCGGCAGAAAGAGGCCAAAAGCGCACAGCTGTACGCTGTAGGGTCCTTCGAACGTTGCAAGCATGATGAAGGAATCATTGCTTTCCATTGCCTCCTCCTTCAACAACTCTCAAAATGATTATAGGAAAGCCAAGATAAATCTAGGCGTCCGTCAAACGTTTTTCTGGAGCACAGAGACACATTTCATCCGCCACTGAGCATTTTTCAAAGCGTTCAATCAATACACACATGGCACGCAAACGATAACAAAGTTCCCCCTTATAGCCTTTACAGACTGTTGGGGCAAGCACTGAACGCCCAAACAGCTTTTGTTAGGCCAGAAAGAGGGGGCTAAGGAGCCATCCATTTTATTTTACTACATACGCAAAAATGTAAAAATTTGACCCCTCCCCGTACACACGCGTACCTTGATCCCCCCCCACCTGCCTACGTACGCTTGATGCACCCCCCGCCCCGGAATCCTATAGAACACGCGATATTTAATCCACGCAGAAACGATGAAGGATTAATAATATCAGAGTGTTTTTTGTTTGCATTTTGACCACAAGTATTGTGGTTAATGCAGACATGATTCCTTGTAAAAGATTTCAGTTTGGTGTTTTAACGTCACACCTGTTGCCAGATAAAAGGGGAAAAACCTATTCTAATATGAACGTGTTTAAGTAAACACAGTCCACCACCGGCTGCATTAAATAATTAAGTTGCGTAACTTAAAAATTTTCTCTAGCGTCCGCTAGGTTCAAACGCCGACTGAACCCAGTCGAGCAGGTGACGTATTATAGGAATTTAATCCCGCTTTATTTTCTCCCATAACCGATTAGTTTATTTTTGTTGATCTTGTTTACTAGTTTGCGGCCTAGCTTTAAACACAGCTTTGAACAGTTATACTTGACCGTGTTATCCACCCTGACTGGTTATTCAAAAACACGTCTATTGTGATCATAAAACACAATTAAAACTCGGTGAACTAGTCTCTTTATAAAGTGCGTCAATTGAACATCTGCTGTAACAGTCGACGGATGTACAGACCAGTGTTAGTACTGAAGTCCGGAGGGCAGCAGCACGAACAGAGCACCGCGGCAGCTAAAATCTTGAGCCAGTGGCAGTCTGCAGTGAGGCCAGATTGAAGGATGAGTGGTCATCCATGGTGGGGCAGGCCGCCACACGATGTCAGACTCACTGCTGAGCTGCGTGATAGCTGCAGTCAGGGGTACGGTGGCATACAAGTGACCTCTCCCACAATCCCACTTCTTCCGGTAGTACTTGCTGTCTGACAGCAGAATAAACTGAACTGTGGCTCATTTGAAGGCCAATGTAGACAAATTATTATCGAGCCCCCCCCCACCTCGTTTCCTATGCGTACGTACATTGTCAGTAGACCCATAATACGTGAGCAAACGCATTTGGGTTAATGCCCTACCCCCTCCATGCGTACGGACTAAATGGATGGCCCCTAAATGGTCGCGGCATGGGCTGAAGACATGGAATTATGTGGTATGAGGATATGGAGCTGAGTGGACTTGTGGATTACTGGTACCAGCGTTGTCAAGATCGGCCCCTATGGAGGATGCTCGTTAAAGACGCTAAAATTGTTGGTGGGATTTATTTCCAAACCTTCCGCAATTCATTGTTTGTTGAACTTCTTTTGCACCATATGTAGCACCGCCAATCAGCACAGCGAGATAGCACTTGACAGTATGAATTATGTAAAAACTATTTTGCCAACACACCCATAACTTTAGCTGCACGGAATGCACAGCTATAATAAAGTCCGTTATCAATTTGCATGGTACAGATACACATTCAAAGTGATTTGTGCTGTGTTTTGGTGACACGAATTCCAATCCTTTAACGGTAACAATGCATTACAAATGTGTGTACAACCGAGACCTCGTTCTGTATAACGATCCCATTGTCTTTCTTGAAACACATTGAGCAAGTCACTCATTGGGCATTACATAACGCGAGCCGAGTGTGCGATGGACTACTTTTTTTGAGCAGTGTGAGTGTTGGCAGCGTTGGCTACTGGTACTGCAGCGATGCGGTCTGTGATGCACGTCGTGCCGTCCTCTTCGTCCTCAGTCATTGTTCCATCATCTTTGTGTGTGTAGAGTCGTCTCGCTCCCTTATTTTTGTTTCACTCACCACATTTCTCTCTCACACACTTCATATTTAAATAAATGAATCTCAAACACAGCATATTCATAGATGTATTAAGTATACACGATACATTTTCAAAAGAAACATGTCACACGGTGGACTGAACTGTTAAATGAAAAGTGATAATATTACGGGCTGGAATGGCACCCCCACCTTCACAATGATTCTTTATGGGGAAACTACCCCCGCTTAACGCGAATTCACTTCGTGGCAATTTTCTGGACATAAACTCCCGCGTTAAGCAGATGATTCGCTGTAAGAGACATACAGGAGCATTTGCTTTTATATAGACAAAGAGGGAGTGATCATTTCGAACCAAGGAACACAACTCGATTTTCCCTGTAACGTCTATTATTTATCGAACGCATTTTTGCTAACACGGCATTTTCCAAGAATGTAACCCCGACGTTCAGCGAGCTCTGCCTGTACTCAAAAATCAATTGTTAACAAATGCAGCTCAAAACTAAGCCAACTAAAAAGCTTTTTTTTTAAACAATTGAACGCATTTATAGTAAATGTATCAGCATGCATAGGGTATTGTTTAACTGAACACCATAATGCACGGTCACACATTGCACTCAATGTTACACTTAAGCAGTGGTTCCTTACGTACGTATTGCAAAGGACATGTGCGTGATATTTGTGTAAACATTCCAAGCAATCTCAAAAAAATCAGTGAATGAAAGCCTTCCCACACTGTAGATCATTGGATCTTTTGACCATACTTGACCATTCTGGTCAGTGCACGTTGGCAGAGGTGGGGGCATGGAGGGTGAGAGATGAGCTCTCGTATAACTTGCCACTGATGTGTATTTTTTCATAAAAAAAAGTTAAGCTTAAGGATAAATGATTACAGTAGCTTGCTAAATAACATTCTAACAATGGAAGTTTTCCGGTTCATATGTTTGGAGTCCTATGGTCGGTTTCTCTTGAAAACTGAATTTAACTTACATTTGAGACTTTTGAAAATGGTGGAAAAAGTGTACCAAAGAATGCATTTTTACAACACATCCTCATTCCTTTCCTTAGCTGCTTGGTGCGTAAACAGTAGATCAGCACATTCGTCATCGGCACAATACACGCACCGAACTGGAAAATGCACCTCATGTTTCGCAGAGCGGGGGTGTTGAAATCTTTGATGAAACGAGGCGTTATGGCGGAAACAAAAATCGCAAAGAAAAAGAGAGACAGCGCTAAGAAGTGTGTCAGCAAAGTGTTCAAACCGTGCTTAGTAATCTCAGTAGATCGTTTAATGCGACACTCAATAAATATATTTAAGTAGCTGAAGCTTATGAAAACAAGTGTGAAGATAAAGTGGATCACCATGAGTATCGAGCCGTATGCAAAATTAACATTGGTGTTCGATTCAGCCAACAAAATCATTCCCATGTTATCACACAAAATCCCTTGGATTTTCCGGTTATCGCCGAATTTTAGCTGCGCGGCGAGGAATGTGAGGGCCCCATATACCGCCGAGGTGACCGTCCACATCAGCAGCAGCACTCCGAGCGTCTTTTTGGCTGTGACGATGGTGTGGTAGCGCAGCGGGTGACAGATGGCCACATAACGGTCAAAAGCCATGACCGATAGCGTCAGAACCTCGACGTTACAGAACACGTGTATGGAAAACATCTGCACGAGGCAAGACTCGTACAGGATTTCGGTGTCGCCCGTCAGCAGGATTTGGAGCTGCTTGGGCAAGGAGCTCGTGCAGCCGACGATGTCGGCCACCGCCATGTTTCCCAGGAACAAGTACATGGGCTTGTGCAGCTCCGGGCACACGAGCACCGCCACGAAGACCAGCAGGTTAGCTACAACTGTGGCCGCATAGAGCGGCAGGCAGAGGCCAAAGATGACCATCTGCACTGAGTACGAGGCTTCGAACGTGGAGAGGTAGAACGCCGAGCTGCCGTTCTCCATTGCCGACGCCTAACGACAACTGGTGATGGAATTATATATTAGAAAACGGAGATGGCAGGGATGTTTAAAATTAAAGCTATGGGTTTTTTTACAATACTTTCAGGTTGCGTATGTTGGGGTAAAGTGTGGGTACTCCTGCCCGATTAGTTTGGAAGAGTAGGCCAAATGCCCTCTAGAGTTAAAAGACATCACGGTATATAAGCCTTGTTCAGGTAATGAAGGCAAATTGGAATCAAAACGATTAAATAAAGTGGGGGACGAGAGCAAGCAAAGGTTTGGGGTGCTCATGGAAAACTAAATCATTACTGATAAGCAACGGAGCAAGACATGGATGGGAAACAAAGCAAGGAGGTGTTTGCTCGGTATCACAGCGAGATAGAGGCACGCTTGGACTGCATAACGCTTGGAGGAGGGATCTGTGAGTCCATGGTCCCTTTCTACAGACGTCATGTTCACTGAAAAGATGGATTGATGCAAATTGGCTCAGGTGTAAGAGCTAAATTAATTTCGACATCAGACTGTTAGATTTGAAAACGGCTTGCAAAGTCTTTCATTCAGCAGTGCATGGATCATTACTAATGATGAGGATTATGCCGAGTACGGGTGTGTGTACCTCAATTGTATTCAAGTCAATTCACTCACCGTCAGGATTTTGATATGTAGTCTCATGCAGACACTTTGCCAATCCAAATGGTTTTGCCTTCTACTTGCTAAGGCCTCACGGCGTTGAATTTCACAAACCAAAAACATGAAGCGCTTATTCAAATCTGATGACATGGACAATAATGCATTGAACATGCATTTCTCAAAGTGAGTTTCTGGCATTTTCCATAATTAAGCATATTACGAATATTTTTTCATAAGTAATATGGTAAATTTCACGTAAAATCAGACGTTATTTTGAGACGCATTTTCTAGCCGTGACGCCGCATTTTATTTCAACGTAAAAACGCAAATTTAATTCCAGAATCTGTAACGTTTAGCTTAGGAGGCGAGCGAGTGTGACACAGAGTGCTAATGAAACACCCGCCCAAGCCCCAGTGTATAAACTCACCGTGGTGCCTAGATGTCCGCAGCAGAGAGCTCAGTGCGCCGCGCGAGAACCCCCTCTTTTATACGTTTGGTTATCACGTGTTCAATAACGCTCTCGTGGTTCCGTGGTCACGTGTGTCTCATTACGAACGTTCACATGGAGGGTTTGTGGCCAGGCGACTTCAAATTGCAAGGGAATACTCTGCAGTCAGGCGTGTTGGCGCTCAGCCAATTAGGATGAAAATCACTGCGGTTGCCACGAATATTTCACATCAGCTGACTTTTTTAACGCGATCGAAGGTTGATTAATTAGGCGCACTCTCAGCCGCTGTTTGCATTCCACTGCTGGATGAGGGCCTTTCCCACACCTTGTGAGTCACCGTTGAGTTATTTGACCTCGCTGACCAACTGGTCAGCACGGGTTGTGGGAGGGCAGAGAGTTTAGGCGTTGAAGCAGACGATTGTACAACCTTGTCTTTTTCTGCACTGCGCTCTGCAGGCAAGGTAGCCCCACCGCAGCCCTTCCCATCTGTTTTGTGTGCGGTGGTCACCCATCCAAGCACTATCCCAAGCTCACCACTGCTTCGTTCGTTTCCAAGAAGTTATGAGTTGGATGCATTCTCGGTTAATTGGTCATAGGCACATTGGGAGTGATTTTGGGGTTTAATCAATGTTTTCAAAATTCAGAATGAATACAGCTATGATTAATGACTGGTTCACACAAATGACCGAATCTGTTTATAAAGTTTTACTTTACATGTTGCGATTGGCTGTTAAACTCAGCAAAGGGACGATCGTGGTATATGGCCGCGTTACAATCTGGAAAACCAAGCCATTCAGTGATAATTCACTTTGCATTCATATGCAACCAAATGCGTTACCCTGAAATGCTATTGATCATAAATCATAATAGTTAAAGAAAGCATTTTTTGTTGTTAAATATTGCTTTGTAAAATTGAGTAATCATTACAACCCTTTGTCAATTCACGACTGGATGAAATCCTCTTCATGCCACGCAAGTCATGGTGGTTTTTAACCATACTTCACCATTTAAAAAAAATCACCTGGAATGCACGGGATCTGTTCCAATTCTGGGAAAAGTTAAGCAGGCGTCAGCTTGGAATGTGATGTGATTGTTGTTGTGAAACTCCTTTCTTGTCCCCGTCAAGGTCCCTACCGTTGCTTTCGAAGAGAATTCAGTACAGAAATTGTGGACTCCCATCTCTTTCATCTGTATGGGTTAGAGTGTTGCTCCTGCGCACGTGTGAGTTATCTCTGAGTGATCCAGTTTCCTCCCACATGCACTTTTAAATCTCGATTGAACCATGAATGAAGCCAGGATCTCCGCCTCGTATAAACGGGACACTCCAGCAGAGGTAATAGGTTACTACAACCTCATCTCACTTTTTAACAGGGACTATAAACTCCTCTCCAAGATCCTCGTAAATTTAATATAAAGGGCCTTTCCGATGACCATTAGCGAAGCGCAGACGGGACTACTCAGGAACAGAGACTTGGCCAACAACGTGAAGGCCCTGGTCAACAAAGTAGAAATACCCACAAATGACAATCTAGCTGTCTTTGCCCTTACCGGCCGAGATGGTGAAAAGGCTTTTGACAGGGTGGAGAGGACCTTCCTATTCCGGGTTATGGATAAATGTGGCATCCCTTCTTCATTCACTGACATATACAGACTATTACATGCTAACCCATCAGATATGCTGTTCACGAATGGCTTGGCATCCCCAATTTGTCAGCTAAAGCAGAGCCGTAAGGCAGGGTTCCCCCTTCCTTCCACTATTATTTACCCTGGCCTTGGAGCCCTTCAATGTGGGTATCCAGAACAGATCTCAGGGGTAAATTGTGGAGCAGTGGAGAATACAATTTACCTGTACGCCGATGATGGCCTCATCACCTTTAAAGATCCGGAGACTTCAATCCCCGCCCTTCTGGCTCTGGTGGGGGGAGGTACGGGAGATCGTCGGGGTACAAGCAAAACGCCGCTAAATTGGAACTAACGCCCCTGTTCCCTACCTCACTGAAATCCCCAGAGGGTTTGATGCCCCGTTGAAGTGGTGCCCAATCCACATCAAATGCCTGGGAGTGACAATCCCCTCTTCTCTAACATCACTCTTCAAGTAGAATGTCCCCTCTTTGCTACAGAAAAGTGTCACCTTACTCGTGCCCCTTTCTCTCCACAACAGAGCACATCTGGTGAAGATGATGGCTCTCCTAATACCTTTACACCACTTATGAACGATTCCTTCCCGGATCCCAAGACCCTTCTTTAAAAAAAAAAAACTCCACTCACATATCTCCTTTATCTGGAACCATAAACTCGCGCGGATAGATTTTTTTCACTCCCTTACCCTCCTTGCGAAGGCAGGTGGCATGGCTCTCCCTGACCTGTTAAAATACCGTAACGCAGTCACCCTCCAGAACCTGAAACAAATAACGGGATCAGTAAAAGGTGGGAGGAGGGGTCTGTGAGTCCATGGTCCCTTTCTAAGAATTCCCTCTCATCGACCAAAGATAGACACCTGGGCATAAAATCGGTGTGGACAGTTTCCTCTCCACTGGGGATATGTAGGGACAAAATAAATTCCCCTCCCTAAGCCCCTTCATAGATTGTCCCTGCTATGGGATAACTCTCCGTTAAAAATTGTGGAAAGGAAAACAGTTGGCCCAGCTGGAAAGTGGCAGGACTGGAAAAAGTTGGTGACCTCCTGTCCGAAGAAGACAACTTATTATCCTTTGGAACAGCTACAAGCAAGATACAACATTCCCCAAACACATTTTTTAGTAACCTACAGTTAAAGGACGTCATCACCAAAACCCCAGACAAGAACTTTGCCCATTCTGTTTGCATGATAATAGACTGGCTAGAGACACGAAAGTCAAATATAGACTAGCGGAGGCATACTGCCTCGTGGACGGTGAGGGATTTCAGACTAGACCTATCACTAGAAAACTCTGGAATAAACTTCTGGGCCAAGATTTCCCCCAGCGTAAATGGATCCAAATCTGGCGTGCCCCTTTCTCTGGCTCAAGATCGGTACCACTAAAGCTCATCGAATTAAAATGTATGCACGGCACCTATTTGACCAATGAGAAAAAGAGCCAAGTTCATAGACGCCTCTCCAGACTGCCCTCGGTGCCCTCCTGACACAGTTCAGATGTACCTTCAGGCCTTTTGGTCATATATAGAAATTTGACTCAGATATAAGGAACTTTGTTTTTTTACAATATCTGTGATACTAGACAGCCCCTCAATTGAATCAACCCTGTGGAGTCTAAAACCAGTAGGCATTACAGTTAGTAATTTTTGCATAACCATGCCATTGAAATCGCTCACAGCAATTAATGCAATTCAATCATAACATATGACAAGGCTGTAAAACAAGGCTAGCTTAAGGCACGGCCATGTGCGTACTCGTGTGTAAGGGGCCGTCCATAAATGACATCACGCGATTTTGGGCGTATTTTATGTGGCGCTGCACTCTGATGTAGGAGAAAACACGTATTAAAAAGGAGGCGTTGGAAAGCTTACATTTAGCATAATATCCACTTGAAAATATTCAACGTCTAACTAAAACTGCAGATGTTCAGAATATTCCATTGAAATTATCTTATAATTATAAAATATTAAAAGTAATTATTACTATGAAAAATACTTGAATCTTTGTAGTAGAACGCAGCAAAATGGAGAGTACAATTATAACAATCGCATATTCATTCTACAGAATGAAAAGCCCTAGTAGAATCATTATAATCAAAATGTTGAATAACAATCATTAAAAAAATGTTTATAATGTATGCTCCTTCATGGAATAAATAAAAGGGGACCTTAGTAAATTTAAATAATCAAATAGTTAATGATGAAAATTTATCAAAATTAGTGTTGTTATAACAATTCTATATTTATTTAAAGTTGCGCATTTTGACGTGACGTCACATTTCTCAAACACCCCCCCCACCCCCCCACTCGTCACAAATCGTCACAAATGTCTGACCCCCCCCCCCCCCAGGTGCGTGACGTCATTTATGGACGGCCCCCAAGGAATGTTGAACTTCTTTCGTACCGTACATAGCCAACCATGCTAATTGGAGGTGCACTGGTTATACGCTGATGGTAACAGCATTATCGTGCCAACATTATATTGTGCCTCATGATATTTGACATATCAAAAAATCACCGCCAATGCCACGAACCAATGGTGCTCACCACTCCCCACGTACAGCGCACACAATCACCAAGGTGTACACTCTCACCGTGCAATTGCTCACCGTCGGATGCGTAGCACTTTCGTATGTCCAGTCCGGTGGCTACACATTAATTGTTTCAAAATAAAGAAAATCATTCAATTCGGGTGCACAACAAATTGACCCGGAGACTTCTTGCAGGCGGATTCTTTTTCGACTCTTGACACCATGTGCCACACAGGCACGCCTGGTATATTATTATTATTATGTCGATGCGAGGGGGCTTACGGGTACGGCAGTGCAGCGAAATCCATTGGTGGTGAGAGTGGATTAAATGGGTTGTGAAGTCGTGAGGCGTTGCGGTGAGGGATCGGCGGGGAAGTTGATAATGGATAGTTAAGTGATAATGGATGGTTAAATGATAAGGGATGGTTAAGTGATAATGGATAGTTAAGTGATAATGGATAGTTAAGTGATAATGGATAGTTAAGTGATAATGGATGGTTAAGTGATAATGGATAGTTAAGTGATAATGGATGGTTAAGTGATAATGCATGGTTAAGTGATAAGGGAAAGTTAAGTGATAATGTATAGTTAAGTGATAATGGATAATTAAGTGATAAGGGATAGTTAAGTGATAATGGATGGTTAAGTGATAATGGACGGTTAAGTGATAAGGGATAGTTAAGTGATAATGGATAGTTAAGTTATAATGGATAGTTAAGTGATAATGGATGGTTAAGTGATAAGGGATAGTTAAGTGATAATGGATGGTTAGGTGATAAAGGATAGTTAATTGATAATGAATAGTTAAGTGATAATGGATAGTTAAGTGATAATGGATAGTTAAGTGATAATGGATGGTTAAGTGATAATGTATAGTTAAGTGATAATGGATAATTAAGTGATAAGGGATAGTTAAGTGATAATGGATAGTTAAGTGATAAGGGATAGTTAAGTGATAATGGATGGTTAAGTGATAATGGACGGTTAAGTGATAAGGGATAGTTAAGTGATAATGGATAGTTAAGTTATAATGGATAGTTAAGTGATAATGGATGGTTAAGTGATAAGGGATAGTTAAGTGATAATGGATGGTTAGGTGATAAAGGATAGTTAATTGATAATGAATAGTTAAGTGATAATGGATAGTTAAGTGATAATGGATGGTTAAGTGAAAAGGGATAGTTAAGTCATAATGGATGGGTAAGTGATAATGGATGGTTAAGTGATAATGGATGGTTAAGTGATAAGGGATAGTTAAGTGATAATAGATGGTTAAGTGATAATGGATGGTTAGGTGATAATAGATGGTTAAGTGATAACATATGGTTAAGTGACAATGGATCGTTAAGTGATAACGGATAGTTAAGTCATAAGGGATAGTTAAGTGATAATGGATGGTTAAGTGATAATTGATGGTTAAGTGATAAGGGATAGTTAAGTGATAAGGGATAGTTAAGTGATAATGGATGGTTAAGTGATAATGGATACTTAAGTGATAAGGGATAGTTAAGTGAGAATGGATAGTTAAGTCATAAGGGATAGTTAAGTGATAATGGATAGTTAAGTGATAAGGGATAGTTAAGTGATAATGGATGGTTAAGTGATAATGAATGGTTAAGTGATAATGGATGGTTAAGTGATAATGGATAGTTAAGTGATAAGGGAAAGTTAAGTGATAAGGGATAGTTAAGTGATAATGGATAATTAAGTGATAATGGATGGTTAAGTGATAATGGATGGTTAAGTGATAAGGGACGGTTAGGTGATAATGGATGGTTAAGTGATAATGGATAGTTAAGTGATAATGGATAGTTAAGTGATAATGGATAGTTAAGTGATAATGGATGGTTAAGTGATAATGGATGGTTAAGTGATAATGGATAGCTAAGTGATAAGGGATAGTTAAGTGATAATGGATAGTTAAGTGATAATGGATGGTTAAGTGATAATGGATGGTTAAGTGATAATGGACGGTTAAGTGATAAGGAATAGTTAAGTGATAATGGATAGTTAAGTGATAATGGATAATTAAGTGATAATGGATGGTTAAGTGATAAGGGATAGTTAAGTGATAAGGGATAGTTAAGTGATAATATATGGTTAGGTGATAATGGATAGTTAAGTGATAATGGATAGTTAACTGATAAGGGATAGTTAAGTGATAATGGATGGTTAAGTGATAATGGACGGTTAAGTGATAAGGGATAGTTAAGTGATAATGGATAGTTAAGTTATAATGGATAGTTACGTGATAATGGATGGTTAAGTGATAAGGGATAGTTAAGTGATAATGGATGGTTAGGTGATAATGGATAGTTAAGTGATAATGAATAGTTAAGTGATAATGGATAGTTAAGTGATAATGGATGGTTAAGTGAAAAGGGATAGTTAAGTGATAATGGATGGTTAAGTGATAATGGATGGTTAAGTGATAATGGATGGTTAAGTGATAAGGGATAGTTAAGTGATAAGGGATAGTTAAGTGTTAATGGATGGTTAAGTGATAATGGATGGTTAAGTGATAATGGATGGTTAAGTGATAAGGGATAGTTAAGTGATAAGGGATAGTTAAGTGATAATGGATGGTTAAGTGATAATGGATAGCTAAGTGATAATCCATAGTTAAGTGATAATAGATGGTTAAGTGATAATGGATGGTTAAGTGATAATAGATGGTTAAGTGATAAGGGATAGTTAAGTGATAAGGGATAGTTAAGTGATAATGGATGGTTAAGTGATAATGGATACTTAAGTGATAAGGGATAGTTAAGTGAGAATGGATAGTTAAGTCATAAGGGATAGTTAAGTGATAATGGATAGTTAAGTGATAAGGGATAGTTAAGTGATAATGGATGGTTAAGTGATAATGAATGGTTAAGTGATAATGGATGGTTAAGTGATAATGGATAGTTAAGTGATAAGGGAAAGTTAAGTGATAAGGGATAGTTAAGTGATAATGGATGGTTAAGTGATAATGGACGGTTAAGTGATAAGGGATAGTTAAGTGATAATGGATAGTTAAGTGATAATGGATAGTTAAGTGATAATGGATGGTTAAGTGATAAGGGATAGTTAAGTGATAAGGGATAGTTAAGTGATAATATATGGTTAGGTGATAATGGATAGTTAAGTGATAATGGATAGTTAACTGATAAGGGATAGTTAAGTGATAATGGATGGTTAAGTGATAATGGACGGTTAAGTGATAAGGGACAGTTAAGTGATAATGGATAGTTAAGTTATAATGGATAGTTAAGTGATAATGGATGGTTAAGTGATAAGGGATAGTTAAGTGATAATGGATGGTTAGGTGATAATGGATAGTTAAGTGATAATG